GGAAAGGAATAGTTGGGTACCATAGTAACCAATGTATGTGCTTTACGGTCCTTCTCACTTTCGATGTCAAAATCATGATTTCTTGTTCGGAAAATTGCCAAAAATCGGAAAAGGATATGTTCACCAATTGTAGAATTTTAGACATGTTACAGTAGGATATCATAAGTTCGTCAATTCAAGAATTCAAAGACTCAATCCACCATATGAGTACAAGGTACAAGGTTTTTGAGTTAGCCAGCATTCCATTAAGGTTTTTCCTTTTTTCACAATTCAATGACTATTTGACAATGAAACCTGGTAGAATGATCAAAAATGTACATTGGTTTTTTTGCGTCTTCCAACTTATAATGTCATCTTCTATGTAAAAAACTCAAGAAAAACAGGTAAAAATACGATTTTACGCATTTTTTGAATTGAAATCAGATTTTGACAGCTGAACTGGAAAGCACATAGAAATTCAATCATATAGTGATTTATTGCATCAGCCAAGTTTTTCTTTCCTGACCTAAAGCATTAACATTGAAGAAAATCAGCAAAAATGCGGTTAGCCTATTTTTTGACAATGACACCTGTATGCACAAAATACATATATGTGCATTGGGTTTTTGAGCTATCGATGTTATAATATCTTACTATAAAATTGTCCAAAATTGGAAAAATCGGTTAATATGCGGTTTTTCCGATTTATCTCGATTTTTCGAACATGAAATCATAATTATGACCAAAGAAACTGAAGACTACGTAAAAAATCCAAATATACAGTGGATTACTGTGTTGGCACGTATTCATTTTGTGACCAAAAACGTCAAAGATTGGAGAACATCAGCGAAGTTGCGGTTTTTACTATACTCTCAATTTTCGGAACAAATTTCAATTGAATGAATGAAACCTAGAAGAATGCAGAAAAATACACACATGCTTTAAGATTTTAGTTAGCTAAGTTATGACCTCCTACTCTGATAATACCTAAAATTGGAAAAATCGGTGAAAATACAGTTTTCGGATGTTTGCCAATCTTCTTGACAAAACGTTGATACCTTAACAACGGAACTGACAAAAACGTCAAAAAATGCATACATACAAATCAACTATTTGATTGTGTAACCTAAAAGAATGAACAGAAACACACATATACTTTGAGTTTTTAAGTTTAAAATGTCAAAAGTTAGAGAAAATCGATGAAAATGATTTTGCGGCCGACAATTTTTCATTACCATAATTTTGTTAGTGGATCTGAAAAATATGTTAGAAAACATTGATATGCAGTGGATTTTTAAGTTTGCGAAGTTCTCATTACCTAACCGAAACTTCGAAAAAAGATTATAATTCCACAAATCTGTGAAAAATCTATCAAAAGTCATGTAGGAAATAACAATGTATTATGGATAATTTTTCCGAAATTGTTTGAGCAAAATTGCGCCGATAAAAAATATTTCGAAAAAAGAGTTTTTGGGGTTAGGGGCTCCTAGAGGCGACCTGTCGATCTGCAAATTTGACTAGTATAATAAGACGCAACATGCCTTAATTTGGATCGAGCCAGATTTGGATAGCTTTGGTTAGAAGCATTTAACCAATTCAGTGTAACGCATGGACTTGAATGTAACTTTTTGGCAATTCCTCTGGTCAACTGCATTTGACGGTGGCATTTGAAAAATTCTTGGGAGAAACTTTGATGGTCCATGTTTGCTTTCGGCAACATGTTGAAATAGTTCCTAAAAGTGTTGTGAATTTCTTGCTAAGTGGGGGCGTTCCTTCTCGACTGCTGGAAGAATCTCCTCTATGTGAAAAATGCACCTACGGGCCTTTTCGATCGGCACGGGTATTAAGATCTTGAAAAGTGACATTTTGTCGGTTTTTTTGTGACATAACGTAGGTTTTTGTACAAGATCTCAACTTAGCACTAGCTTTTGCACACTTGTTGAGAACTCATTTTGTAGCTGTACGTATTGCCTAAACGTCATGATGCTTCAGCTATCAGTGTTTAGCTCTGATGTGATGTAACATCTGTTTCAGAGATGGCATTATTGGAGGTCTGAGCTGTAAGTTGTATACTATAGCTGGAAGGAAACGGCAGTGCATAGGTGCATAGTGAGGATTTGAGTGATAATAATCTGTGTTGATGATAATTCCATTGGTTTCTTGTCTCAAATCCACTTACTTGAGATGTATTTATATATATATATATATATACATATATATATATATATGTATTTTAAGCTATAAATTAGTTGTGTATTTGCTTTTTCTTATACATTCTGGAAATTACATATGCAAATTTCCAAAAAGAGAGCAATAAGAAAAGAAAACCCCTCGTTGGTGAAGTATATTACAAGTAACAGGTGAGAAAATATGCTACAGACAGGAATATTTATGAAACGTAAAAAAGTTGTTACATTATCGGCCCATTTTTTAAGTGTTGTGCAACGATTTTGGAAAAAAATTGGTACGGATAGTCGTAGAGTATATTTCAACAATTGTCTTGCGTAGCCATGTTATCTTTACTCAAGTCAATCTCTCTCTCTGCAGACAGGACAACATGTAAATAACCCGTCGGGCACAGCTAATAGATATACTTCATTCGCAGCATATTCAGTATTAATTTTCTCATATAGCAAATAACACTGATTTTATACACATGCAGCCGAATACACATAAACATCCAGATCCGATCTTGCTACTCAATCAACTTTGTTACTTTCACATATTCTCAGAGATAAATACTACGGATTACTCGATTTTCTGCAACAAACAGGCAACCAGCAATGCATGTAGTGTCGTTAAGTCATTGCTCCATAGATGGGCGCTCACAGCGATCACAGGGAGCTATTTGCACACTAAAAACTACCTAGTCTACAAGATGACATTTTGACGTTTCATCATGGAGTATTACTGGGAAAGACAATTCGAATGTAATGCAACAAATATCATGACAGACCACCCTCTCATAAACTCATTTGGGGCCAATTGAATGGAGACGGCAAGAGGAACATAATTAACTCTTAGAAAGGGCACAGGTATTACATACTATTTACAAGACAGATAGTAATAAAACTGAGGTTACAAAAAAATTCTTCTAGAAAAATGTTAGCAGAAAAAGCCTATGCAGAAAATCACTATCCATATGTCCTCGCGTAAGTCATATCTGAATCCATTACACGTATACTCCATCATCTGTCCATATCCGCTTTTATCATATCACATTATTGGAAATCTAGGATACGTCTGAGTGGCTTATCGTGCTTTCCGCTGAAAGCTTTTTTGATGCTTTTCAGACTTTGCCATGCTAAGCTAAAGTTGATTGGCTGTGTCGAAAACAAACCACATTATACGAATATAAAGCAGACTGTCCTTGCTGTCACCGATCCACAACATCTTGTCGTAGGCAGACTGTAAAAAAGCAGTTCTCATCAAACTTCATGGAAGCAAATATCAGAAATTATTTTCGTTGCTGGTCATTTCAGAAATATAAGGAAGCTTGATTTGAAGAGAGGCGTATATGATATATCCAAAATATAAAAGGTACTATATGCATGCACGAGTATAACATAAAAACATAATACAACATTTACTTCCGATGCCACTGGGCAGCAATCGCAAAAAAATTCGAAAATCGGATATTATGTTTTTCATTTCCGTCGGTCTGTCTGCCTACCTGTCTGTCGGTGTGCCCGCTAATCCTTCGCCCGTCTATAACTTGAAAAGTACTGCTCAGATTTAGATGAAATTTCTACATAACGTTACTACTATGCCAATACAAACCTTTGTAGCTTTTTTAAGATCGGCCCAGAGGCAGCGGAAAAATGCCAAAAGCAAAACAATACAAATCGTTAAAAAAAATTTGTTTAGAGAATCTTGATCAGTTTTGAAAACGCTTTTACCCGGTAAATAATTGCGGGTTGGGAGAAGGTAATCGCACGCACCCATTAGACATATTTCACACATCATATATTTCCTCGTACATTTGCCCTTAAAACTTAAAACATATTTTCAGCCGACGAATAGCGGACGTATCGGTCGCACGTGCGCCACTGGGTATTGAGTGCTTATTAGTGGATCTGAGGGACTTATAAAATCAGCTAGCAAACGGCGGGCGGTATCGCGGCTCCGGTTTCTTTCGCCGCTGCTGTCCCGCTTCACTTTCTTGTACGAGCCCTAACACAAAATAGTCTGGACATTATCTCCAAGTTTGTTTATTGTTTTAAGGTTAAAAAATATATTGTTTCTTTTATAAGTCATTGAAATCTATTACGAGCCCCTTCCCACTTCAATTGGCCCACTTCAAGATTTATACCAAATTATGCCTTTATAAACTAAACACGACGACACTATTTACTTCTAAAACAATTTATTTTCTAAAAAACATTTTAGATACACTCTAGTCGTAAAAAATACATATTCGAAATCGCTTAGACCTATAACTAATAGAACAAATAAACAATGTGCGAATAACTGCGCGAAGTTAGCAAAGCAACAATTGAAAGATTACCATTGGGTAACATCACCTTTATTTTTAATTACGGCTGTAATTATTTGGGGCATAACCAAGTTTTGGCAAAAATTTGGTGTAAAACAGTTCCATATTTCTTGAAGCTTTTGTGTCAGTTCGTTGATTGTACGAGCAGGATGTTGTCGTAGAACCTTTTTTATCTCGTGCCACAAAGTTTCAATAGGTGACAGATCTGGACTGCTAGAATGGAAATCCATTTCAAAAGCGGTACATTATTTTCTTCCATCCGTTTTATAGCCTTTTTTGAGGTATGGCCCGCTGCACCATCTTGCTGAAACACAAAATCTTGACCGGATGTCAAACATTCTTCCATCACTGGTAAAAGCGATTCTTCTAAAATTGCCAAATATTTGTTTGTATCCACATTTCCATCAATAAAATTAAGTTTTCCTACTCCTTTTGATGACATACTGCCCCAGACCATAATGGATGCTGGAAATTTCACTTTTCTCGTCAGACAGTCAACATGGAATACTTCATTTTTTTGCGAATAACTCTACTGCGACTGTCACCAACACAAACTTCGAATCGGTCCTCATCACTCCATTGTATTGCACACCATTGTTGAGGTGTCCATTGTCTATGTTCTTTAGCACATCTAAGCCGATTTTTCTTTTGCAGTGGAGTTAATAGTGGCTTTTCTTTGGCCTATAAACAAGTTGTGCAACTTTGGGGTTTTTACTTCACTTTTTTTTATAAGAAAACTTACCTTGCAAGTGCTAAATCCCAGTTTGTGGGCCTCTCTATGAGTTGTGGACCTCGAAATTCTCGCTCCAGCAGCGTCACTCCACAGAGCACTTAATTGTAAATAATTGGCACGCCTGTTTTTCACGATTATTCTTCTTAATGCTCTTCGGTCGGCATTTGTGATATTACTTTTTTTCACATATCGTGGCTTAATATTAACTGAACCAGTTACGTTATATCTTCTAACAATATTTCTCACACTGTACCGCTAAGTCTAACAAAGTTGCAATTTCTGAGTTTGATTTCCCAGAATTAAAAAATTTAATTATCAGTAACCGAATTTTCTCACTAATAACCTTTCCTCTACCCATTTTGAAAACCTTAACTACCCAAAACCATTTTAAACGTATTCTGACAGCTGTGATTAATAAAAAAAATTGTCATGGCTTTTATTTTTCACAGCCACATATGCGTTATACACTTATTTTGCATTGAAATGAAAATAGGTTGATATGCTGTAATTGCAACATGTGTTATTTTTATGCTGCAAATTTTATTAGGGAGTGATAAAGTTGGTGTTTTCTACTATATATTATCAAAATATTCATTGTTAATATTTTAAACCTACAACACCCTGCTGCATTTTTATTTCAATAGTTGGGCCAACTGAAGTGGGAAGGGGCTCGTATTTATTTATATTAACTAAATTATCAAGTAATATGATATTAAACTATAAAACTAAACTAATATTGATAACAAGTCAATATTTGGCTGACGCATAAATGTTCGGACAAACCATTTGAATAGCTCGTTACGTCTCCCTTTGCCTTAATTACAGCATTAATTCTGGCTTGCATAGTCTTAACAAGGTTTTCACAGTCTTCCGCCTCAAAAGAATCCCATATATTTTGTAATTTTACTCGTAAATCAGAAATGTTTGGGTGTGGATCATTTATTAACTGCTGCTTCATTTTGTGCCATACAGTTTCGATAATATTCAAATCAGGACTACTCCAAAGCCAGCCATGGACGGAAATATGTATTATCCTGCAACCATTTTTTCGTGGTCGTATGATATCTGGTTGAAAAATAAAGTTTCCATCAGGTGATAAAATTGGAATTGACACTCTCAAATTGGTTTCGAGGATATGTTGATATTTAGCTGCGTTTACAGTTCCGTCTATGAAGTTTTCCAACGCCAGAAGCAGATATGCTTCCCCATACCTTTGAACCTGATTGATACTTTACTTTTCTTTTTAAGGAGTTTTCATGAACCACCCACACAAACATCAAATTTCGATTCATCGCTAAAAGTGTCCTTCTTCTAGTCTTCGTAAGTCCACATTGCTCGATTTTACTAAATAAATATGCCATATGTTCCTTAAATGCAACCTACGTACCTTATAAAAATATAAATCAGACTTATGAATCCACCGACGGCACGTTTCTCGTGAAACATTTCCTGCTGATTCTTCATTTCATTGTCCCTTACAGTACCTCGACGATCAGCTTTACGAATACGAACAAGAGATATTTGAATTCTAGGAATGATGTTACGTGGCGTACCAACACCGTGTCTTGAAACTTGAGTTAAACCTGTGTCTCTATACGTTTTTAGAATATCTGCCACGGTAGACTTTGCGACATTTATTTGTTTAGCAATATCTCGAAAACTCTTCCCTTGATGAAACAATTTTATGATTAAACCGTCAAATTGTAAACACTTTTGTGTTAGCAAAATATTGCATTGCTATCAATACTGGTTTGATTTTATGTTTCAATATCATATTACTTGAACACTGTTTTGTTAATATGATGTGCAAACAATATATTTCATTGTCTTATAAAAGAAAAACAATTGATTTTTAACCTTACAAAAATAAACAAACTTTTAGATAAAATTAAATAATGTCCGAAAATGTTTGTATTAGGACTCATATTACCTTCAATTTTTCCATTTTCTAGATCATTTTGATTTAACTTCCCAAATCTACTCACAAGGAAGTACCACATTTCCGTCGGCTTCTCTGTCTGTCGGTCTGTGTCTGGCTGCTAATCATCGCCCGTCTATAACTTGGAAAGTACTGCTGGTCCAGTGGCAGCGGAGAAAAATTCCAAAAAGGAAAAATAAGCAATCGCTCAAACGTTGGGGGTGGGGGGGGATCAGTAGGGGATAGGGAAGGATATATATATATATATATCAATTTTTTGATATTACTATATTAGTACACTTCCAGCCCCGGTAATTATATGTACCTAGAAAAATTTCACATATAACAGATTTCCCCGTTCATTTGTCCTTAAAAAGAAAAAGTACTTTCAGCCGACAGATCGCGTACCTGTCGGTCCACTTACAAAGTGCTACGGGGTTGTAAATATTGCATCTTTGGTAGTGGATCCGGAACACAAAAACAGATAGCAGATGCCGCGGTGACATGATATGCATACAGTTGGGCAGGACATTGCCTTATGTTTAGGGTGTAATTTAATGAGGTTACTTGATTTCGTGAGGTAATATTATACAGTGATTTTCTTTAATGTCCCCCTCCCCTTCGATTTTTTAAACGGATCAATTCAAAAAATTAAACCTTGAGGTAATGAAATTGATGTGTGGATACCATTTTAGAGTAAAATTGACAGATGGAAAAAAAATTATATGACCTTCACCTAGTACAAAATGGTCGTACATTTAATAATTACCTCAATACATTGACATGTAACTTGATAATTCGAATAAATACGTTGAGTTCAGTTTAGAAGATGCTGGAAATGGTTGCACTGAACTTTTTGACACAATAACAGCCGGTCCGTAATTTCTCGTCGAACATTTTCAAACATAGTAACATCGATATTTCTACAAATACAGGTATGTATCATTCTCAGCCGTATATCCAATATTGAAGCAGGTACAGTTTCGTACAACTTTTGCTTCAAATAGCCCCATAAAAAAAGTCTGAAGGTGTCAAATCTGGCGAGCAAGCTGGCCATTCCACAGGACCTCGACGGCCAATCCAACAACCGGGGAAATTGTTATCTAAATAATTCCTAACTTGTCTGTAGTAGTATGGTGGAGCACCATCTTGCTTGGAATACAATATCAGTATCGAATTCATTAGGATTCGCATCGACGATTTCGGTGATTAGAGGATCAATAGTATTTTCCAGCATATCCAAATACAGTTCCCAGTTAAAGTTTGTTCGATAAATAGAGGCCCTATAATATGGTTTCCCAATATCCCAGCCCACACGTTAACTTTTTGTGGATATTGAGTATGAGTTTCCCGGAAGACGTGAGGATTGGTGTCACTCCAGTAACGAGAATTTT